TGGCACCGGCTTGCTCCCGCTCAGCATCTCAGGTCTGACGCGTCCGTGCAATCCCAAGGGCAGTAATGGGGTTTAAACCATTCCTATTGCCATTATCCAGACCCTTGGGTTCAGTCTCGTGCCGCATGCAAGGCAGCGATGGCAGCAGAGCCTCCTCCCCAAGGTGGAGAGGTCAGAGCAGGTTTAGGTCAAGCCTGGTGCTTCCCAGAGCGAAGGCCCTTCATGATTCCCTGCGTCCCACTCACCCAGAGCACAGGGAGATGCTTCACGGTGCCGCGTGGAGGTTCAGCGCCGTCCAACAGAGATCCACAGGGCATCCTCTGACCGCTGAGCTGCTCCTCCTGCAAAACACAGCCGAGCACAGGACCACAGGCACCGAGATGCAGAGCGGCACCGAAAATCCTCTGACCTGGTGGAAAACGGGGCTGGAATTGCTGCTGGCACTGCCTGCACGCTGGGGCATGGCCCAGCCTGCAGGTCCTCGCGGCAGCAGCTCGTCCAGCTCGCACTCGAGCTGGGAGCCTCGAAGGGGAGGATGCTGTGGGGCTCTGGTGTTAAATGGGGGAAAAATAAGAGGCAGGAGGCAAGGAAAGAGACCTAGAGCAAGAAGGGTCAGTTCCACTCTTTATTTGAGGTTTCACATGCCACCAGCGTACATGAAAGTTGCACATTCAGAACCGGCTTCACTAGGAGGACACAGGGCCGATGCAAAGACGGGCGCACAGACGGGGGGCTCGGGGGTACCCCCAAAGGGGCTGCGGGGTCTCCTGCTGCCACCTCCAAGCGCAGCCCCTGCTTTGGGGGCCACCAGGTGACAGCTCCAGGTGCCAACGGTGCCCTGGGTACCCCCGAGAGACACCCACCTCCTCCCACAAGCAACACAGGCAGAAAGGGCAACATCCCTCCCATCTCCAAGAGGATTTGGAGGCCAAGAGCCCATTTAACACCTCACTGAAAGCCCCTTTCCATCAGCGCCAACAGTTTTCACATCGAGAAACAACTTCCACCCGCTGTTCATGCGGGAGAGACGACAGAAATAGGGACTCTTACACTGACATTTTATTTTCAAAGAAAGTTTTGATAGAAAAACATTTTTTTTCCCCTTTCCCCAGCAGCCTTGGGCACGGAGTTGCAGCTTCCACTTCAAAGGACAAACTTCAAAAAACCAAATCCAGTGTCCTAATGGTTTTGTGCTACATTACTTAATTGTCATACAGCTAATTAGCAATGCCTGATTACACATTCGCAGCACAGAGATGAAGTTCACAAAAGAAGGGGGCTACTTAAAACAATAAATAAAACAAGGCACCAGGCAGCCAGGCTCCAACGACATTAACATTAAACGTTACACTTTACCATTTTAAAAACTGAAAAATTTAAAAAAAAATCATAATTAAACCTATATTGATCTGTCTTCCTTCAGATCTGGGAGCTTTGAGTTTCCACAGGGAAGGGGGAAGGACGAGGCGGGCGGAGGGGGCCGCGTTCGTGTTTCGCCGGCGCGCAGCGGAGAGCTTTAAAATTCCAATTAATTCCCTATCGCCGAGATGGGGATCAATACACGGTAGAAACCGACCCCTTTCCTCGAGGGCTGAGGTGGGGGGATATTAAAAAAAGGGAGAAAAAGAGGAGGAGGGAGAAGGGAGAGCGTCAGAGGTCAATGCCACAAAACAATAGATATTGATGTCTCCATTCATTTCGAACAGCAGAAAGGTCAATGCCTCCCTTGCCTCATGTTTTATGGCTCAAATCCCGCTGCTAACAGCAACAATGTTCGTAGTCAGACCTCATCCATCCTGTTTTATTATTATGATTATTTCTAACCAGGTTAGCCATTTTGAGGACGTGAGGAGAGCGGCAGGAGGCGGCGGCTGCCCTGCGGATTATGGCAAGGGAGGCTCCGCTTTTGGGAATGCTGCTCCCACTAAAGCCAGCCCTTTCCGCCCCCTAAAAACCGAAGGGGGCCGAGGCAAAACCCCTGCGCTATTAATCGTTATTCCCCGCGCAGCATCCCGGTTGGTTTCTATGGAAATGAGCGCCCCGGCTGCCTGTGCATCCGTCGGGAGCTGCGGCGGGGAGCTCAGGGCCCCGCTCCACACCCGGTGCACATGGTCAGGAAAAGGGATCTGACCGGACACGCTATCCAGGCGGGGATCATCCCTCTGCATGGATTCCAGCCCGGGATGCAATGGGGTGGGTGGATGGATGGAGGAGGCCATGGGGGATGCCCCACTGTAAAAACAGGATGGTGGGAGGAAGTTGGGGCAGCTGCCAAGGGGCAATCCCAATCCAGCAGCGCATCCCAGCGCCCCGTCGCCTCTGGATGAGGGATCCCGCTCAGCCCGACTCCGCAGCCCCACAGGACACAGGGTTGAGCAGGGCTGAGCCGTCAGTCCAACACAAGCCCTGCCAACCCCAGCTCTCCTCAGGCTTTGCTACCCCAAAGCCCATTTCCAAACTGATCCACAACCATTATCCAAAGAGGCTCCGAGGCAGAACTGCCCTGGGGCTGGCCAAGCGCTCCTGCAAGCCAGAACCTTCCAGAACACCTACGGAAACGCCCGTGACTTGGTCCCATCAAACTCCTCCACACCAGAGTGCCGGTGACTTGGTCCCATCAAACTCCTTTGTACTAGAACCCCTGAACTCTTCACATCCAGACCCTCCCATTCCGCAGGAGCCAAAAACCACATGGATAATCAGGCCACTAATAGGAACAAACGGATTTTGATTTTAGCCACGAGCTGCACTTGCCCCCGAGCATCCTTCTCCCAGGGAAACGCGCGGGTCTCTCTGTTGAGCAATGCCAAGGTTTCTTCCACAGGCTCCAAGGTCGCAGGGTTGGATTTGGGAAGCGGGAAGTCCGGCAGCAAGGAGCGGGAATTGCACAGAGGCAGCCTCGGCAAGAAGGGCCCCTTCCGTAATGGAATTGATTTATTTCACACTACAGCCAGCAGCATCAGCAGCCTCGGGACATCCCCTCCTTCGGAGGCCTGCAGATAGGGCAAGATCGCTGGAGAGATGGGAATGGGAGCGTTTTGTATTAAATAAAACCCAAGGAGACGAGGCCGGGCTCCGCTCTCCTCCCGCACGCCGCAGCCTCGGCGCTCGCTGCGCTCCGCGTCCCGTCCACGGCTCTGCTCACAACATATGGTGCGATGTTTAATAGCCCGGCTCTGCCAATTGGGGACTATTAGGGTGGGTTTTTTTCCCAGTGTAAATGTTGCAGAATATAAATTGTAATTAACACCGATGCCAAAATAGCACTTAGAGAAAATAAGCACATTATTAACATCTGGTGAATCCTGCCTGGAGTGCAGAAGCAGCGGAAATTCGCGCTCACCATAGGAGGATTTGTAGTACAGATACCGAGCACCGGCCTGCAGTCGGGGAGCGGAAGGTGGAGGAAGTTTTTAAGCTTTTTAATCAGTATTTGCAGGGTTAACTTAATTACCTGGGAAAGGGCGCCCTTTCCCAGCCCCGGCTGCAACGGGCACTGTTCGTATCAGGACCACCGACCTGCTGCTGTGAGCACAGATGCCCGAATGTCGCATTCGGGGTAGCAGTGTTACAAAACCAGATGGGTTATCGCTGTGCCAAGCAAAGGGCCCAAGGAAAACACGTTGCAGCAGGTTAGCCCCATCCCTAAGAGCAAGGGGTTAACAACAGCACGAAGCCACAGGGGATCTGTGCACACTGCTGCTGTGCCCGAGCTCGGGCTCTCCAAGCCAGCGAGGAGGCAGCTCTGCCAAATTCCTGCCGGTGCCTCGCACGCACGGAGGGAAAACTCCTCCGCAGGTGGGATATGACTCGCTCCAGCGGCACGTAGGGAGAGGGAGGTAATCCCTGCAGGAATACAGGTGCCCTGCAGCATTAGGGAGCTGGCTCACACCTCCAAGCGCTCAGTCTTGCCTCTACCCTGCCCGAGGCTGGAGACGCGGGGGGAACGCAGCTTTGGGAAGGCTCTGAACGCTGCTCCCTGCCCAGCGCGGCCGCTCCGGCACAAAGCAGGTCCGAGCTGGACACCGCCGCGGCTCCTGCTCCTGCCAAAACCCAGAGCTGATCTGCGAGGAGGGGAGGAGGAGAGCGCGGAGCTCTGCGGGATCCGAGAAGGGAGTGGGATGACAACAGGTAGGAAGAACGACCTCGCTGGAGCACGAGTGGCAGCAGATGCCAGGAGCGGGAATCAGCTCCTTGCATGCACCAGGATGGGATTCAGCATCCCAGGAGTGCTCCCGGCAAGAGGACATGGTCATTCCTGGGACAGTGCAAACCAACCTCACCACCTCCTTCCTGGCTGAGGACCCGAGACTGCTGGTCCCAGTTGCTGACTGGGGAGAGGGTGGAAAACCAGAGGCAGACAGCAAATACACCCAGGGATGAAGCAAATACCCATCCATCCTTTAAGCCACACACAGACTTACGCTAATAAAAGACGGCAGCGTCCTGAGCACGACAACATTAACCTCTCTGAGCAGAGGGGATACCACAGGCTGGCCCAAAAGACAAACCCACGAGTCAGGTCCAGGCAGGTACCTACCCGACCGACGGGAAAGCAAGGAGGGAAAGGGCTCTGAAGGCAAAGGCTTTGTGTTCTCCAACCCTGTGAGGCGGCTTCCTCAGCATCCTGGATCACCGCAGCACTCAGACACGGAATCTTGCATGGAAAACGCTGGCGAGGAGATGGGAACGTCACCCTGCGCCTCCCCACGAAGGCAGAGGTGCAGCAAACCCAGTCGCCACGTTAGGCAGCGTTTAGGAGATCGGGGTGAAAGAAACTGGCTACACCAGAGGTCAATAACTGTTTTGCAAAGAGGCAAACCCAGCGTTTTGCCACAAAACACTCCAGCTAAGGGGAGGTGCGACCGCCACGCAGAAATGTCGCTCCAAGATTTTGTAGCTTGGTTTTTGGTACAGCTGTCTGATGTGTTCCAAAGTGCTCAAAAAATAAGGCAATATGAAAGTGATGCAGACCACTACTGATGCCTGAGGAAGCTCTGTGGAGCACAGAAACCGACTGAAATCACACTGTGAAAACACTTCATTAATGTCTCTAAAACTAGCACGAGCTCAAGGCATGGGGTCTAAGGACAGAACCTAGACACTACCTTCCCATCTCAGCTGCAAGACACACGGCATTTAAACCAGATCTAAGCTCCAGCTTACTTGCTGTGGGCACCATCAACCCCAGGTCAAGGATTTCAAAACCAGCTCAACCTCTTCTACCAGGACAACCGATGGAAACATCATTAGCAATAAGAACATCCCACAGTCAAGGGGCTAATGACCATGATTTGTTATTCTAAAAGTAAGAGAGAGAGTCCTTGAGGTACTTCTCATTCAAAAACCCTTTAAATACCCATGATCGCAAGTGTATGTGACTACAAATGCTATTTGTAACATAGAAAAGATGTGATTTATTTCAACTGAGCAACACACTTCTGTGCCTCGTAGCTGGCCTAGGCTTTCTATTTTGCCAAAAAGAGACCAAAGCAAAGAATGATTTCCACCAATATCACAAAGTACACTGCCAAAGTACACAGGGGCCCTCACACCAGGCAACACAGGGGAAGAGCATCATTAAGACAGTTTCTCTTACCTTTAACTTCAGTAAAACAACAAAGCAAACCATCACGAACCGCAAGGAAATACTCATCGTATTCCACAAGCCTTGGAGATAGGCTTTTTGGAGGCGAGCATTACCCAATAGATGTTTCCCCACGGCAAAGGCCCAGCGTTTTTTGTTGTTTTGTTTTGCAATTGCACCTCATTAAAGTGATTGTACAGCATCGAGCGAGGCGGCCACGGGCTGAAGCTGGGGAAAATCCAGGCCAACGAGCAGCTCTTCCGTGTGGTGGCTCCAATTGTCCCCTCCGCGCCGCGACCGTCACCACCACAGGTTGGGAGGCTCCTCGGCCACTCTGCTTTTAAACAAGGTGATTTCATCCAAGTGCCTCATGGGGACGTCTCTGATGACCTCTGTCAAGTCCTCGTGAAGGAGGGGGAAGATGACGACGTTTAATGCAGGGCGGTCTGCCTGGAAACTAGATCAGACACGGGTTATTAGCCGAGGAGAAACAAGAGTTCTCTGGGGTAAGAGCAGGGGCTTGCATGGATACAGGTAGGACACAGGGAGCAAGGAAGGGTTGTTCTGGAAGCAGGAGGGACACAGGAAGTCAAGGGCCCCAGTCCTCCTGTGAGCAGGGCTGCATCGAACCACTTTGCAGCGAGTCTTTGGAGCTGACGAGCCCAATTCAGGTCTGACATGAGGAAGGAGTAAAATCCCCCAAAATACAGATGTTCTCGGAGCTTTTCCCAAGCTGAGCAAGGTGCTCGGGGCTAACAACTGAAAGCTTTTGCAAACCAGCAGCAAGTTGCAGAGCCATTAAAAGCCAGGGCAGCGCAGTGCCAGGCATTCCCTCAGGGCTGAGCCCGGGATTATCACTCCAGGCTCCGTCCTTGTGCATGCAGAGCCTACACTCTGCAATTAGAGCAGAGGCAAGTTTGGGAAGCTCAGATCTGCAGATAAGCATTTCAGTGGGCTCACGCGCATGCACACGCACACACTGCAGCCTCCTTTTCAATAAGGGCTGCAGAAAACCTGCCTTGGCAGCAGATGAGCCTGCTCTAAACAGAAAGGCTCTCAGGAATCCCCGCTTCGCCACTTGAATTCCGGGTCCTAGCTCCTGAAGCTACAGCCTCAAACTGTTTGCACCCCGTTTAGATATAAAATCTGCAATTTTCTGTCCTCCCAAGACCCCCTCACCAACACTGCACCACTGGGTCTGCTTTGCAGCACGCTCGGAGCGACTCAGACCTTGCAAACGAGAGCCCTGGCACGACAATAAGAGAAGCAGCTGGATTATCATACAAGCAAAACTTAAAATATGCATAATTTAAAATACGCACAAAGAATAACCATACAAAAATGCCCACATGCCCATCAGCTCTACAAGGCAGCAACCTGATAAGCTAGGAAACAAGGGGGAGAGAAAGAGCCGTAAGAAAACGTGCCATAACAAGGAAAGGTCAGCTTCCCCCTGCAAGCTTTTACAGCTGGGATAAAGGGAATTTATGTCATCGCTGAAGGGTTACACCCTGAAGTTTAAAACGCTTGTGACTATTAGTAATTCTCCATCAAGACACTGCCTTTGAACCGTGTGATGAGGGGCAGGTCATTACTGTAAAGGAGGTAGTGCCAGAGTGGCAGCATCAGTCCATGGAGATCAGAACCAAAACGGGTTGTACTGGGTTCAAAGAGGAGATCTCTGCTGAACAAGCATCCAGAAAATCCCCAGCTCAGACTCCTAGCACCCAACTGGCCGGACTGCTCTCAAATAGAGAGGTCACTGCATTGGAAACACGCACGAAAATCCCAAGTAACTCATTCTAGCAATAGGGCCAGCTGAGGGAAAGGCCCCAAGAGCCTGGAAATTCTCCAGGAGACAGAAAAAGGTGTTCTCATCCACAAGCAATGTGGGACAGAGGTGCCAAAAATGCAGCAGGCAAATATTCATACCAAATTTAGCTGTTCAGTCCTGGTGGATTAAATCAATTCTCCCGGACCTGCGTAGCTGCAGGAACAAGGATTTCCCCTATGAAAACTACCTGGGGAAATTTAACACCTCTCTGCATCCCGGACCTAAGGATTAGCAGAAAAGACCCCCTTTCCCTGAGCTCATCCTGGGCTTGTGCAGGAGCTGCACAGTTCCTTGCTTCCATAGCACTGCCTGCAAGAAACCAGTCTGCAAATAACTGCTGATCCGGGAGGCAGTTGGGTAAAGTCAGCAGTGAAATTACATAAAATACAGCAAATGTCTGTTTGATAGTCCCTCCTCTGCCTCGGCTCCTCATGTTTCTTATCCAACGCCACAGTCCTGCGGAGAAAATCATGTTAATAGAGCAAGTTTACTGAAGTTCAGCGTAGGAGAAAAACAGGCATCTTTGCAGGATGCAGCCTTCCTGACCATAAAATCCCCAAGGCACAGAAACCTCTGCTTCTTTCTTTGTATATAGACTCTCTCAAATGAGATCTGCATGCTGCTTTCTCACCATACGCAAAATTGTAGCTTAGAAGCAGTCTTTACATGTAGCTATAAAAACAAGAACCTAGACAAGTTTACACGACAATCTGCCACCAAGACAGCTGGGGAAAAAAAAAAAACCCATCACAGTAAATATACCTTCCAAAAAGGCCGGATTTATGTAAGGGATTTGAATTTCGTCTTGGAAAAAAAAAATACAATAATAATAATAGAAGTAAAACAAAAAGAAAGCTTTGTCATTTTTCCCCCCAAGCAGGAAGCTGTGTGTGACTGCAGCCCTTGTAAATACCACAGCCCCGTGAGCCGACGCTGTAGAATTCTTTCCATGTACAATTTGCGTGATTTAAGGGAAAAAAGGAAAAAAAAACAATCAAATGCACATGGCTCACCATTATTCTCAGCTAAATGTGCGTGCAAAGCCTCTGCTTTAACTGCCTGTTAAAAAACACCCTGGTTTTAACAAGCAGCTGTCACAATGTTAAACTGGGATTAGCAGTTCCCCAAAGCAGCCTCCCTCTGCAATCCGTGCTCCTTTCGTCCTTCCCCGGAAGGCAATTCCTTTCTCCGTGCACCTGTCCAGGTGGGCTAGATTAACCGAGGAGCACTTAGAGCCCCTGTTGGAGCGGCCCCAGGCACGGGGAGGAGATAACAAGAAGGGGAAGAGATTGAGTTAATGAGTTGCAGAATAGCTCCTGTAATCTTCTTGCCGGTTCTTTCCTCGTTCCGCACCTGGATGGACTTCAAACTGGCTCGAGCTCTGCAAGCACACGGCTTGTAAAATAAAAACCCGAAGGACAGAGAAGGATGTCGACCTGGAGAGACAAAAGAGCTGCAGCTCCAGACATGCAACCCTGCCTTCTTCCAAAGGAGAGCCGCCAAGGGTATGTTTGCTAGCTCCCTCCTGCAAAACCTCCAGACTAAACTCATCACGATTAATTAAATGAAAGCAAATTTTCTAGGCAACTCACTCGTAGCCCCTTCAAAACAAAGCTTTTAATCAGCACCAACCACTGGCACGACAAGAGAAAATACCCCTCTCCGTGCACATTTCCCAGCATAGCCTCATCCAGCAGACTTGACACCAAACCAGTCACCATCCAGCAGACACTTTTGCAAGGAGGTCTCAAAGTGTCTTCGTTTGGATGTGGACACAGAACGAGCCTGGTTTCAGCAGCTGCTTGGAGTCATCCCTGGAACAGGGAGACACAGATTAAAGCCCAGGCAGCTTCACCAATCCCTCCTGGCATCAGCTGAAATACGGCCCATGCTACAGTCAGATCTTGAACATGTTGCACGTGGCTGGAAGGGTTAATAGCACTTTGCTATTTGCCTCCAGAATCATCCCAGAACAGGTGTGGACTGGCCACGGGAAGGTTATTTTCACAAGAACAGCTTGGTAAACAGCCTCACACTATGGGCTCAATTACTTCCAAAGCAGCATGGCAGGATCCAATATGTAGGTCACAGACAAAGTCAAAAAGAAGGGGGAAAAGTCTAAAGCAAGGAGTCAGATTCCCCTGATTCCAGCCGGACAAAAGAGTCACTCCCTGGAATGTGGTTATCTCCTGGCAAACACCCCAGAGCGTTTCCAGACAAACTTCTTCAGAGGGGAGGCCACCCAGTGCTCAGAAGTTCACCTGCCCACGGAGCTCAAGGGCATCCCAGATCCGCAGGTGAGCGGCGGGGCCATCCCGAGCTCCATGGGCACCACAGCTCCCTCGGGATGACAGTCACGGCTCCCCCCACGGTGTCACCCGCGCCCCACACTCACCTTCCTGGTTACAAAGGAAGGGCATCGCAGCATTTGCAACCAAAGACTATTTCCTCTGGAGATCTCCAGAGGAAAACAAGAGAAAATCCTGCGCCAACTTCAGAGGTTTCGGCACATCCCACTTCAAACCTGGCGAGCAGGAGCAGGGGCACACAAGGTGGTATAATTAAGCGCTGGCACTAAAAGAAGTACACTTCAGATACCCTGCATTTCCTCATTTTATCACGAGCACATCAAGGGCTGATTTTTTTTAAACATCAGCAAATGAGATGGTCTCACGAGGAAAGAGACTTGGGAAAGAATTTGAAAGGAAACCTCAAGAAGCTGCATGTGAGGGAACTAAGTACAGAGGGCCTGGAGAAGGTTCAGACTCACAGCAGTCCTCTCCTCTCTGCTGTGGCCACACATCTCCTCTTGCCTCCATGCAGACCTTGCACAGAGCCCGTGCCACCTGGCAAGGTGCTTCTGGAGAGGAACGAGTTTCCCTGGAGAAGAGAAGTCGGCCTGGCCCTCCTTTTGGCCTGAGCACAGCTCTTTCACCCACATGCACCCAAAGCACCCTGAGAACCCTCCTCCAGGCACAGCCCAAGTTTGTTTTCACTGGAAGACTGACATCTCCCAAGTTCAAATAGGGCATCTGCCTTGGAAGCTTCAGCCAAGGCACCTGAGCCAGGGCTGGAAACTCCCATCCCTGAGGCTGAGCCTGGTGGAAGGGAGAAGCAAAAGGACAGCGGGAGCAGCTGATGAGCGACAGGACCCAACACACACACATGGTTTTCCCATCCTTTCAGGAAGGCCAGCCACACGCTTGGGGTTCGTTCCACTGCTCAGTCCCAGAAGTCACTACTAGGGAATTGCGAGACCTCTCCTTGCTTGCAGGGACTGCCAAGAGCACTAAATGAGGCTTCTCCGGGGCTTTTTCGAGCAGGGCTAAAGAATCCAAGGGCTGAATTCCACCCCAGGCACCTTCATTCACGAGCAGGGTGGATCCTTGCCACCCTCCAAATCCCCAGGTGCCTCTCAAGGCGGCTCCAAAATCTGCACACGGCAGCTCCAAAGGAGCAGACCTGCTCCTTGGTATCCTCTCCTTGCCAGTCCTGACGGAGCATTAGCACTGCGCAGACTTCACCTTCTCCTCTCAGAAGTGGCCTTCAAAAGTTCCCTGGGAAAGGAGCTGTGTTTCCTCAGGTTGCTTACACCTCACACAGGGCATCTCCTCCTTCAAGCG